ACAAATCTATCCATCTTTCTTTCTAACTAATCTATCCATCTTTCTTTCTACCTAATCTATCCATCTTTCTTTCTAACAAATCTATCCATCTTTCTTTCTACCTAATCTATCCATCTTTCTTTCTACCTAATCTATCCATCTTTTCTTTCTACCTAATCTATCCATCTTTCTTTCTACCTAACTAATCTATCCATCTTTCTTTCTAACAAATCTATCCATCTTTCTTTCTACCTAATCTATCCATCTTTCTTCTACCTAACTAATCTATCCATCTTTCTTTCTAACAAATCTATCCATCTTTCTTTCTAACAATCTATCCATCTTTCTTTCTAACTAATCTATCCATCTTTCTTTCTAACAAATCTATCCATCTTTCTTTCTACCTAATCTATCCATCTTTCTTTCTACCTAATCTATCCATCTTTCTTTCTACCTAATCTATCCATCTTTCTTTCTAACAAATCTATCCATCTTTCTTTCTACCTAATCTATCCATCTTTCTTTCTAACAAATCTATCCATCTTTCTTTCTACCTAATCTATCCATCTTTCTTTCTACCTAACTAATCTATCCATTTTCTTTCTAACAAATCTATCCATCTTTCTTTCTAACAAATCTATCCATCTTTCTTTCTACCTAATCTATCCATCTTTCTTTCTAACAAATCTATCCATCTTTCTTTCTACCTAATCTATCCATCTTTCTTTCTACTAATCTATCCATCTTTCTTTCTAACTAATCTATCCATTTTTCTTTCTAACTAATCTATCCATCTTTCTTTCTAACAAATCTATCCATCTTTCTTTCTACCTAATCTATCCATCTTTCTTTCTAACTAATCTATCCATCTTTCTTTCTAAATAATCTATCGTTCTTTCTTTCTAACAAATCTATCCATCTTTCTTTCTACCTAATCTATCCATCTTTCTTTCTACCTAACTAATCTATCCATCTTTCTTTCTAACTAATCTATCCATCTTTCTTTCTAACAAATCTATCCATCTTTCTTTTACTAATCTATCCATCTTTCTTTCTACCTAACTATCTATCCATCTTTCTTTCTAACTAATCTATCCATCTTTCTTTCTAACAAATCTATCCATCTTTCTTTCTACCTAATCTATCCATCTTTCTTTCTAACAAATCTATCCATCTTTCTTTCTAACTAATCTATCCATCTTTCTTTCTAACAAATCTATCCATCTTTCTTTCTACCTAATCTATCCATCTTTCTTTCTAACAAATCTATCCATCTTTCTTTCTAACCTAATCTATCCATCTTTCTTTCTACCTAACTAATCTATCCATCTTTCTTTCTAACTAATCTATCCATCTTTCTTTCTAACAAATCTATCCATCTTTCTTTCTACCTAATCTATCCATCTTTCTTTCTAACAATCTATCCATTTTTCTTTCTAACTAATCTATCCATCTTTCTTTCTAACAAATCTATCCATCTTTCTTTCTACCTAATCTATCCATCTTTCTTTCTAACAAATCTATCCATCTTTCTTTCTACCTAATCTATCCATCTTTCTTTCTACCTAACTAATCTATCCATCTTTCTTTCTAACTAATCTATCCATCTTTCTTTCTAACAAATCTATCCATCTTTCTTTCTACCTAATCTATCCATCTTTCTTTCTAACAAATCTATCCATTTTTCTTTCTAACTAATCTATCCATCTTTCTTTCTAACAAATCTATCCATCTTTCTTTCTACCTAATCTATCCATCTTTCTTTCTACCTAACTAATCTATCCATCTTTCTTTCTAACTAATCTATCCATCTTTCTTTCTAACAAATCTATCCATCTTTCTTTCTACCTAATCTATCCATCTTTCTTTCTACCTAACTAATCTATCCATCTTTCTTTCTAACTAATCTATCCATCTTTCTTTCTAACTAATCTATCCATCTTTCTTTCTAGCAAATCTATTCCATCTTTCTTTCTAACTAATCTACCCATCTTTCTTTCTAACAAATCTATCCATCTTTCTTTCTACCTAATCTATCCATCTTTCTTTCTACCTAATATCTATCTTTTCTTTCTACCTAACTAATCTATCCATCTTTCTTCTAACAAATCTATCCATCTTTCTTTCTAACTAATCTATCCATCTTTCTTTCTTACTAATCTATCCATCTTTCTTTCTAACTAATCTATCCATCTTTCTTTCTAAATAATCTATCGTTCTTTCTTTATAACAAATCTATCGTTCTTTCTTTCTACCTAACGAATCTATCCATCTTTCTTTCTAACAATTCTATCCATCTTTCTTTCTAACAAATCTATCCATCTTTCTTTCTAACAAATCTATCGTTCTTTCTTTCTACCCAAGTAATCTATCCATCTTTCTTTCTAACAATACTTTCTTTCTCTTCTTTCTTTCTTTCTTTCTTTCTTTCTTTCTTTCTTTCTTTCTTTCTTTCTTTCTTTCTAACAAATCTATCCATCTTTCTTTCTAACTAATCTATGCATCTTTCTTTCTAAAAATTCTTTCTTTCTCTTTCGTTCTTTCTTTCTTTCTTGATGCTAATAACATGCTAATCATGCTAGCTTTCTGCTAATCATGTTAGCTTCTTGTTAAAAACATGTTAGCATGATGTTAGCTACATGCTAATTGTTAACATGATGCTAGCTACATGCTAATCATGCTAGCTTCTTGCTAAAAACATGCTAGCATAATGTTAGCTACATGCTAATCATGCTAGCATTATGTTAGCTACATGCTAATCATGTTAGCTTCTTGCTAAAAACATGCTAGCATGATGCTAGCAACATGCTAATCATGATATTATGATGCTAGCTACATGCTAATCATGCTAGCATGATGCTAGCTACATGCTAATCCTGCTAGCTTCTTGCTAAAAACATGCTAGCACGATGCTAGCAACATGCTAATCATGTTATTATGATGCTAGCTACATGCTAATCATGCTAGCATGATGCTAGCTACATGTTAATCATGCTAGCTTCTTGCTAGCAAACATGCTAATCATGCTAGCATGATGCTAGCTACATGCTAATCATGCTAGCTTCTTCCTAAAAACATGTTAGCATGATGCTAGCAACATGCTAATCATGCTATTATGATGTTAGCTACATGCTAGTCATGCTAGCTTCTTGCTAAAAACATGCTAATCATGCTAGCTTGATGCTAGCTACATGCTAATCATGTTAGCTTCTTGCTAAAAACATGCTAGCATAATGCTAGCAACATGCTAATCATGCTATTATGATGTTAGCTACATGCTAATCATGCTAGCTTCTTGCTAAAAACATGCTAGCATGATGCTAGCAACATGCTAATCATGCTATTATGATGTTAGCTACATGCTAGTCATGTTAGCTTCTTGCTAAAAACATGCTAATCATGCTAGCTTGATGCTAGCTACATGCTAATGATGTTAGCTTCTTGCTAAAAACATGTTAGCATGATGCTAACAACATGCTAATAATGTTATTATGATGCTAGCTACATGCTAATCATGGTAGCATGATGCTAGCTACATGCTAATCATGCTAGCTTCTTGCTAAAACATGTTAACATGATGCTAGCAACATGCTAATCATGCTAGCATGATGCTAGCTACATGCTAATCATTCTAGCTTCTTGCTAAAACATGCTAGCATGATGCTAGCAACATGCTAATCATGTTAGCATGATGCTAGCTACATGCTAGTCATGCTAGCTTCTTGATAAAAACACGTTAGCTTGATGCTAGCAACATGCTAATCATGCTATTATGATGCTAGCTACATTCTAATCATGCTAACAACATGCTAATCATCTTAACTACATGCTAATCAAATTAGCATCAAGCTAGCTACATGTTAATCATGTTAGCTTCTTGCCAAAAACATCTATCTATCTATCTATCTATCTATCTATCTATCTATCTATCTATCTATCTATCTATCTATCTATCTATCTATCTATCTATCTATCTATCTATCTATATTTCTTTCTAACTAATCTATCTTTCTAACTAATCTATCCATCTTTCTTTCTTTCTTTCTTTCTTTCTAATCTATCTTTAAAACTTCATTCAAACTTCAAAACTTCAAATGCTCTGGTCCGGCTTTCTCAAGCCAACTTAAAGTTTGTCATCAAACTTTTTTTTCTAGTTCTTTTATTGAACTTCACTATCTAAAAAGTACAACTTTTATTGAACTTCACTATCTTTTATCACAGCAGAACTTACATTTAATAAATGAAATCATGTACTGTATATAAATACATTCTCATACATTTTTTATTATTAATGTGTGGTTTTAAAATAAGATTTTGAGTAGGCTAATTAATTATTAATTTAATACATATATCGATGTCATAAAATAATAAAATGTGTGATACTAAGAACATTGAGTTATTAATGTATTATATATACACACAGTTTATTAGCAACGGATATACAGGCTATGAAACACACACACGCACACTCTCTCGCACACAGACCGACACACACGCACTCTCTCTCTCTCTCTCTCTCTCTCTCTCTCTCTCTCTCTCTCTCTCTCTCAACAGAAGGCCTGTTGTGTTAGCCCGATGAAGGGCAAGGTTATCAGATAAGCTTTGGAGTTGCATAAAAATTGATATATATATATATTTTTTCTTTTCCCCTTTTATTTTTTTATTTATTTATTTATTTTTTATTTTTTTCTTCCATTTTTTTTTGAGTTGGAAGGTATTCTTTGAAAGAAGAATTGAGTATTTTAAGTCGATCATGTAAAATAAAATGTAATTTAAAAGTCAAAGTCTCTCTCTCTCTCTCAATTCAATTCAATTCAATTCAATTGAGCTTTATTGGCATGACTGTAAAATAGCACAATATTGCCAAAGCAATAGTAATATATAAACATATCTCTCTCTCTCTCTCTCTCTCTCTCTCTCTCTCTCTCTCTCTCTCTCTCTCTCTCTCTCTCTCTCTCACACACACACACACACACACACACACACACGTGTGTGTTTTCCTCAGGTAGGCTTTCTCTCACCCGCAGCTTTGACTCCGTGGCCCGGTTTACACGCGGTGTGTCTCTTGCAGAAGTGTTGATCCCAGTGGAATCCGGGCTCGCACTCACAGACCGTGTTCACGGTTCCGTTGCACGGGCGCGCGACCCGCTGGTGGTCCGAGCACGCGTCGCACAGCAGACAGTCCGGGATGTAGTTCCAGAACTCGGTGAACAGCCCCGGGCCGCACGGCACACACTCGGTCCGGTGGGAGCGCGTGCAGTGGTTGCGCATGCGGAACCCCGGGGCACAGCGGTCGCACAGCAGCCACTCTCCGGTCACCGGGTCCCGGCGCCGGTACGAGCGACCATCCGCAGCCAGAGCCGACACAACCGGCAACACCAACAGTGAGAAAATCAACTGGAGAGAGGAAGAAATACCCGTGAATGATGAGACGGTACTTTCACACACCGATCACAGAACACGTCCTAAAATGTAACAATTCATCAAGCGGCTTTGAAGCCGTGTGTCATGATGTGAAAAGCGTGATAGAGAAATAAGCATGAGCTGAACTGATGTGATCTGTCACTCACCATCCCGCGCGCGCTGCCTGCCGGACTTCATTTACGAGTGCGATGCGCGCGCTTTATATAGCCTAAGTCGCTCACTCTCCCTCATCACACACACACGCACACACGCACACGCCCTGTGATCAATCATAGGAAAAATAAACTATTTATCGGATGAATACCACAGAGATGATGCTCTCGGAGATCCCTCTGAAACTCGAAGAAAAGCATCCAGCATCAGTTAACAGGGAAAGTTCTCTCAAAGTTATGAATAAACGTTCATTCAGAATTATTTAGGCTACTCTTCAATAATGTTCTCAACACGTCAGCACAAAAAACATTATTTATACATCGTCCATGGAGGGTTTCTTTTTTTGAAACGTTTGGATGTTCGTCTAACGCTTTTAAATGTTACTTCTTGTTCAGAGAACATTCAAAAGTAACATTCCATAATGTTTAAAGAATGATACAATGTAACGTTTCTTTAAAGTTCTCACAACCAAGAAGAAACGCTTTTAAACTTTTTTAAACGTTCAGAGAACATTCAGAAATAATGTTTTCATATGATGATCTCGTTATTATCAAGATTCATGTATCAGTTCACACGATGATTAGAGTGATAAAAACCCGCGAAAGTTAAACTTAAACTAAACCACTTTAAAAGATCCTCACAACTCTAATTCATTTCAATAGGCTGAATTAATTGAATGAATAAATACATTTAGCTTAAGAAAATGATGATGATGATGATGACGACTTCGGAATTTACTCTTCATGTCACAATTTTAATGTCGACATGCTGGAATCATTCATTATAGTTACAGTTACTTTAACTGTTACTGGTTTAAATGTTTTCTGGTTTTAGGTTCTGTAACTACTATGGATATAATAAAACATTTATAATAAATACATTTTTGTTAAACATTTCTCATTTTCATTCAGAAATGGCACCAAAAACAAGACTAAATAGACATATTGAAAAACAACTAAAAACAAAACTAAATCTAATACCAATGAACTGAATCAATTGAGACCAGTTCCATAGTGGAAGTATTTCCTACTAAACACTGACGCATAGTGGCAATGTCAATAATAGCACTCCTTTCCTTTTGATATATGACCCAGTTTTTATTTCTCTATAGTCTAAATGCCACAGAAATGCTGATTCATTATTACACATTCAGTGTGACGGGTCACAATACTTAAACTATTTAAGCACGATTACTCAACATGAAAGTTACTAATATAACTGTTATTTAAAAAGAGTAAGAGTGAAAACAGTGAGTCGTCGGCTGATTATTTCCATCTCCTCGGGTCTTCCTCATTTTTAGACGATTCCACAAACATGTTAAAGCTATGAGTGATCAAACCAAGAGTTAGTTATAGTAACACAGAGAGACTGACCTTTACATGATCAACATGACCCGATAAAGCAGTTTCACTCACTATATACAGTCGTCTGCTCCAGTTTACAGTAATTGTAGAATAACTTTGATATTGTTAGCAATAATTCAACTGGACTGAAGCAGCTTTACTTGATTATATAAAATATATATATGTTATCTTCATATACTGTATACTCTCTATATCAGACTAAATGAGCCACAGAAGCCTATAATGCATCAAATATAATACAAAACACATATGCAAAGTTTTTTTTTAGATTTTCTTTCTAAAGGGTTATTAAACTGTTCGATAAAAAAAGATTATTTTTGACATATTTCTGATTAAAATGTATGTTATTCATTCACAGGCACTTTAGACACAGTTGTTGCTTTGTGCTGAAAGAAGATTAAAGAAAATAGTCAAACGCCGTGGTACAGTGAGCACACACACACACACACACACACACACACACACATTTGCACAGCCCCTTAAGAGAACAGCCAGAAACATGGAGCGTAGCTGGAAGAAAACTAAACTAGAGGTTTCTCGTATTTCATGGAAAGACAGCATTACTGCATACAGAGAGGCTTTTAAAGCTGCTAGATCTGCTTATTTACGTCTCTCTTAGAAGAACACCAACACAATTCTGGGTGTTTATTTCAAAAAAGAGACTAAATCAACAAGAAATAAAGACTCCCGATCACCTGATCGCGGTCGTGTCTCTCTAAAGCTCCTCTGAGCGGCAAAGAAAGAATAAAATGCCGCGAAATTGTGTGTGGAGATGGATTTGATTGTAGTGTAGAGAGATATTTGCAGTGAGTGATATTACGTATTACAGTGGAAACCGGTAAATGCAGTTTACAAGTTTCATAGAAAAAGAATGATGTGGGCGTGTGTGAGCCGAGTCAGTCACGGCATAATACCGTCATGCTTGTGGACCGAAGAGCACAATACGAGATAGAGGTGAAATAAAACGTTCATGTTTTAAAGAAGAGTGGCTCGATTCAGTGGAGATAATACACACTCACCTCATGACAACTCAGAATACACACCACTTACTTACACTGGTTTAAATGCACTGGATGAAATGTGTGTGGGCTTCAGGGATTAGATTATAAAAGAGTTCACATATTCCCTTTTCTTGAAAATATAGAGCCATTAGATGTATTTAAAATGCTTCAGTTTGTTTTAATATTGTAATAATGAAAGTTCCCTGCTGGTGTGAATCTCCTCATCTCCTCCGTGAAACCCTCATCATCTCCGGCGTGGCTCATCTCCGAGACACGCATGAACTTTGTGTTTGAGCTTCTTGTGTTGGGTCGACTCGCTTGCTTTAGTCCTCATTTGTAAGTCACTTTGGATAAAGGCGTCTAAATGCAAAAATATAAATGTAATAATATATTATGAAAACAAATTAAAGCATTTATAACATATCACTTTATCTTTATTTGCTTATCACGTTAAATACTTCAATTCGTTTTTATATTATATTATACCTACATTTTATAATATTATAACCCTAATAAAGAATTGATCTCACGAGGGTTATGTTAGGGCTCCTTGACATTAAAAAGTAAGAAACCGCAGCTAAAGAAAATATTGGAAATTCATAAGCAATAAACAATTATGTAACTTTGATGGTTTAATTCTGGCTGTAGCTCAGGTGGCGACCAGAATTAAACCATCAAAGTTACATAATTGTTTATTGCTTATGAATTTGGTGGAGACAGTGCTCAGGTGGCGACAAATGTCCGTCCAAAAAAAGTAAAGTTTTGCATATCAAAAAAAGGTATAATAATAATTGGAGGGATTATTATTGGCCTGTGTTTCCCCTGTTGTTTGTGTATTTGGTAACTGCACATAAATCGACTACATTGCACAACAGATGAATTTAGGATTGACTGTTATTGAACTGATCTGAATAATGAATCATCTTCTGTATGCTTTACAGCTAAATCTGAATGTGTCTCATATTTGATGTTTTTCATCACTGATTATGTCATTTTATGTTTATCACCGTCAAACTACTTTTAATGCATAAAGCGCTGTAAATAATTGATTTTACAGCGGAATCTAGCGGTCATGTGTCAGTCACATGACCATGAACAAATGAATCAGCAATGATGAATTACATCAAATCACACTAAGCAAAAACTCAGATTGGAAATTGAAATGAGTCACCTAACAGGCGAAGCATCTGATTTCATGCAAATACGTGCAAATGACAAGCAGTGAGTTTGGAGACACAAAGGTTACGGGACACTGCATTTACAGCCGCACATTTATCAGAGCCACTGATCCGTGAAGCAGCGCCTGAGGACCAGTCCCATGATTCCACTGAAATCCGTCAGAAGCTGGGATTGCAGACCGAGTTCCAGCGCGACTGGATTGAGACACAATCTAACACTGAGATCTAGGAAACCAAGAGTGTTCTTTGAAGGAGCTTTTTGAGGAACGGAAATATCCTGACAGCACGACGGCTCTAGTATACAGGAACCCAAGGGGAATTCCTGCACGGCAGTTCTGGAAAACCGTTGGGTTTCTCTCTGTCAGAACTGGACTTTCAGGAATAATCAGAGTAAATCACAGCAAGTCTGGAAGCATTTTAGTGGGGTTTTCTCTGCTCAAGTTCACGGTCAACATAATCCACTAAATAACAAACCAACTTCCGTTATGTAGTGATTCAGACACTGAATGACTTAATCGGTATAAAAGTCACAAAACCACATTCTTTCATCGTTAAATCACAGAAATCATAAGTGACGCATGCGAGACGTGATGCTATTATTAGTTATTTCACGGCTGTGGAATGCTTGTTATTCCCAATAACGTTGGGAGATTATTAATTTCTGTCGGAATTACAGTTTTTGCAGTGGCTAACAAGCGTTTGTCCAACCAGTTGTCATATTTTCAAAACTCTAAACATGATTAGCACAGCATCGATCTTTTGTGGCCATATTCACACATTTCATGTCGTTTTCATTTAATATGCAGTCAGTGAACACATTTCCACAATGCTTACATGTTCTTAACAGTGAGAGGTGCAGTGAGAGGTGCAGTGAGAGATGCAGATGCAGTGAAAGGTGCAGTGAGAGGTGCAGATGCAGTGAGAGATGCAGTGAGAGGACACACCAGCTCGTGTGTGTCCTCTCCTGCACTCAGAGATAACGTCAGACACACATCCGATACATTCGCCATTACAACAGATGAACAGAAAATTAGTAGTTACACTACCAATGTCACTACCAACTTAGGACTGAAATCCTGGATATAACCTCCTTTCAGTGAAACGGGTGTAAATGAGACGGTCGATAGGCGCGAGGCCACGTGTGCAATGCTAGCGGGCTAAAGGCTAGCAGCAGAAATTCGGAAGTTTTATACAAGTAGCGTTATCAAAGCAATCCAATTGTTTTTTATAAGGAAAAGTATCGAAGAAATGTTCACATGCTGTAAAAGTAGAAGGTGCTTATTTATAAATGAGTGTAAAGAAGAAAATCAAGGATTATGAATCAATTCGACGGAGCTCCAAACACAACCCGCTCATATTGAAGAATGACTCTACCGAAACTGAGTTTGTCTCATATCTGATGAAGTTTGCATCTGTCACTTCCCTGCTTTGAAATGCCATAAAGCGGATTAACATTTAAAGACTAAAATAGAGGAAGAAAACGATAGTGTACAAAGGCAGAAAGTTAAATAAAAGAAGAAGATCGTTGTGTATGTGAGTATAAAACTCAATAATAT